ACATTTTGTTTCAGCCGTGTTGCCATTCTCACTTAATTGCTCTAACAGTCCTAGCAATTCATCCAGTTTTTCATGTACAACTTTTACTGCACTCCACCGTGTTTCTGATTCACACATGACAGAGATCTTAAGCTCCTGCTGCAGTTCATCCCATCGAGTTGTTGAATGAGCAAAGGAATTATAAATGGCTTCAATTATAACAAAAAAGGTAATAACTATTGCTTCCTGACTTGCAGCATGAAGACATGCTCAGTTCAAACTATGGTTGTCACAGTTTATAAACACTGGTTTTGGATTTTTGTTCAGAATTCTTTGTTGAATCCCTGACAGATGACCTGACATGACAACAGCATTATCATAACATTGTGAACAACAATCACTCAATAAAATTCTATCTGCTTCTAATGTTGTGTTTATTGTTTTCTCAATATTGGCAGTGTCTTTTTCCTTTATCTGTATAAAATCAATAAATCCCCTTTTTGACTTCTACTTTTCTTGTCTTAAAGTCAATGTCAACAAACCGAATCACGATGGACTAAATCAGGTGTGGAATCAAACAGAATACTATAGTATTTGTTTCTACGAATTGCTGACAAACATTAATTTCACACATGTGAGGCCATGAGATTTATAAACACATTTTGGATTTCAGGAGAAAGATAAGATGTTGACGTTTGCTTGTTTTTAACACACTCTATATGCTCTCTCATTACTAGATCATACTTTGCTAATAACTGCAAAAGTGACAGGAAATTTCCAGGGTTTTTGTTTGAAGTTATGTCCTCAGTATGACCACAAAATGCAAGATTCTGATAAGCTAAATATTGTGTACAATCCAGCAACCGTTGCAGTACATCTCTCCATTTATTTTTTTCTTGCTACACGAACACTACAGGAGACAAGTCTGAAATTGTATCGAATGAAAATTTAAACACACCGTGGAGAAGGGTGTAATCATAACATAATATAAGCCTAGAGGCTCAAAGGCTATATTTCATATTAAAGGTTTTGATAGAATGAGAAAACTTAAATATAGGCTAACTAATTAGTGGTGCAAGATTACAGTTCCTAGATTAAGTCGCTAGTAATTAATTAATGTTAAACCTGTTATTTCCATCTTTTTAGTCTTAGGTTTGGATCTAGATGTAATAATAATGACAGAAATTTAGCTTTATACACCTAAACTAGACCTTCGATTTCAGTGCATAGATTGAAAGTGCCTTGTATTGAATCTTCTCAGATCTAGATATAACCCTGCCTCATCAATTCTAGATTTAGATTTATTAGGCCTAACTTTTAGAACAAATGTTACATCTAGATCTATTAACTTAGTCATTAGATCTGTCCCAGTGCAATGCCTACTTTAATAGTTAGTACAGGTCTAAGTATGCCTATAATATAGGCTACAATTTGTATGATGATGGACCTGGGGTCTAGAAATAAAGTTATAACTGCAATTACACCTAAAGTCTAGTACATTAGTTGGTGTAAGACACAATTTACAATCAGCCAATACAATTATAAACCACTACATTAGGCCTATAATGTTTACTAGATCTAGACCTTGCCTGTTACATATATTGCCAATCTTGCACACCAGTTAATGTGTTACATCAATCTCGTATTTTCTTTTCGTTGAACATACACTTACTTGTACGTTGTACTCTGGGACTTGTATTTGATCTATAGATGAATGATGGAATAGTGTAATTTACTTCTGTACATCAATTCGGTCTCACTGTATTTCATTGGGTGGCTTTTAAGAGTTAAAACTGCAAGCGTAATACACACAAATAACGTAACACTGTGTTGTATTTACTTAACCTAGGGCTATATCCTCGAGGAGGGTATAATTATTAATTAATAGGCATTATAGGCAAGAGGAAATTTTGTGCCCCTTCACACCTACACCTGGGGGTGACTGCCCCCTCTTGCTATGCCACTGACACAAGGAGATGGATGGTAGGGCTGGTTTAGTTTTCACTAATAGGCCAAAGACCCACTGAAGTCCTATAACTTATAGATATATGTTATATATACATATATGTATAAAAATAAAATATTTTAAGTCTTGCAATTACAAGAGTTGAAAGCTATTTAACTTAGAACTAAGGCCATTGAACATTTAAATGAATAATAGCAGATACATGTGAAATCTCAAAATCTTCATCACCGTAACTCATATTACAATTGTCATGATAAAAAAGACTGTTTCGTTCAGATAGTATTGACTAATTTAGTTTTGAGTGAATGTTTTATTATTGTTTAGTTTTGTTATAATAAGAGTTAAAAGCAGATGATTAAAGGAAGTTTTGTTAATAATTCATTGATGTTGAGAATATCGAAGGTCATGTGCAATATATTGACATCGAGAAAGTGAATAGAAGGTGGTCAGACGATTAGGTAATATAGATATAAATAGCATGAGAGGAACAGGAAGCAGCAGAGAATAGCAAATGAGAATAAAGTTGGTGTGAAGTTAACTACCATAGAAGTGATAGGCCTAACATTTAATATGTTATAGTAAAACTAACAGTAAAAAAGAAAATAAGAAAAATAATTTTATTCCTTGAAAGCGTGGTTCTAAAGTAACTGAATCAGCCTGAGTGCACTTTGACAAAAGAAACAGAGGATCTTCAAAAGAAAGAAGACCACACAATTATGCTAACTCGAGTCACAATTGAAAATGAATCACAGAGAATACCAGTGCGATAGAAATAGAGAAGATAGTTTGGCTTGTCAACTGAAATTCTAAAGTAATTGAATAGGTGTAAGTGGATATTTATTTGATAAGAAGGAGAGAACTACATACATAGTATTTATGATATGTGCATAATATCTATAGCAGTGGTTCCCAACCTAGGATCCGCGTAGGTAATACCATCTCATTAAACAAGTAATTTTTTTAATACTGATGTTCTTTTTTAATTGCACACTCAGTTATATATGTCTTTTATTTGATAGTGAAAAGTGGGAGAACAAGTTAATTATTAGTTAATAAAAACAGTTTGGTGGGTATGCGGAATCTCTCAAAAAAATGGGGTCCGTGGGGGAAAAAATTATAATAAAAGGGGTCCTTGATGGAGAAAAGGTTGGGAATCACTGATCTATAGTGTTGAAGAATGTATTGCACATACATTAACTAGTTCTGAATATATATATATATATATATATATTATTTGGAAAACAAGTGAAGTGCATGCTCTTTATTCATCGTTGAATTTATTGCTAACTAGTCACACACACCTGCTGTAGCAGAATCCTAAGCCCAACAACAACATAGTATATATTTATATTATTAAGAAATATAACTAAAAGCTTTTTTATTTTGACAATTGGTGAAGATCAGATTTTTCAATTGTGACAACAATCTATACTACTTTCATTAAGTATTTCTAGTTGTATTGAGGATGTTAAGGTACCATAGAATGGCTTAGATAAATAACCTTAATTATAGACAAATAACTTATAGTAAATGTAAGATAAGATAATGCATTTGGGTTATCACAATTTGGATCACATGTTCGATACAGTTGGGAACTCACTTAATAGCATGACTGAAGAAAATGATCTTAGCATAGGGGTGGATAAGTTCCTCAAGCTGTTGAAGCAAAGCTCTGTTGCTAGTAGTAAAGTCAACAGATTTTAGGGAGTATTTATAATCATATCAATTATGAGTCAAATGAGGTAATTATCTATATATATATATATAAATTGCTAGTTAGACCTCATTTGAAATATTATGTATACTTTTGGTCTCCTTATCTAAGAAAGGATATTAACTCAGTGGAAAAGATTTAGAGGAGAGTAACTAGAATGATTCTGGAGATGGAAAGGTTAAGAATACTCATTTTCTATTGAGAAATGAAAAATAAGAAGTGATCTTATTGAAGTTAACAAAATCATACAGGTGATCAATAGGATAAATGCCTCTGGTTTCTTTGTGCTATATTAGGAAGTTGACAGGGTAAGATAACACAAGCTTAAAATTTAGAAAAGACAGGCTAGGCTCCAGTTAAGACAGTTATATTTTAATAACAGGGTGATTGGCTTATGGAATGAGTTGCTATGTGCACTTGTGAAGGCAGGCACTTTATAAGAGTCTAAATGAGAAGTCAATGGTTTTCTGAGAAATCAAAAATGGGTTTAAATTTTTTCTTTCTCTCAAGGGCGAGTGTGCAGGTACTTTGTTGTTCATATGTTATTTACATAGCAAGCAAGCATTTAAATGAGCTTAAACTAACAAATGTTTTCAAGTTTATACCTTTAAGAAATTAAGTTTTTATCTGGACTTTTACAGATAACACTTATTATTCCCAATAATCAAGTGTTTTATTAGTAAAGTTAATTGTTGATATATTCAAAAACAAACTTGACAGGCTTGTTTTAGAATAATGTGTTCAATATTGGTTTCTTACTATATATATATATATATATATATATATAAAGTAACTATATTTTCAACAAAAGTATAAACAAAAAAATCACAAAGATGACCCCTTGGCCCATTGAAGTAATCCCTTTAAGCTTTACTCATCAGCATGATTAACCAAAGTATCAAACTTAAATCAAATGTACCCCTTCAAACCTTCAAATGCACATTTCTATTCAACAAACCTTCAATAGAATTTCAACAAACACCTCAGATCATCAAGCAAACTACTTCACAAGCTTATAATTACAAGAGAAATAAGTTTAACAAATATTGTTTTTTGGCTTAAAAAGCTTAAACATGATATTTACCTCTGTATTTTTAACTATTCAATCCACTAACCAACATATCATTGATTGGCAGATTATCCATGTTCTTTAAACAACTGGGTAAATCAATTCTAAACATTTCTTCTGTCCTCAAAGAAAAATTAAAAGATTTCAAGCTACTCTTTCCATATGAATTACTTAAACCAGGTTTCATAACTGGCAATCTATTTCTGAACTCTTTTAAGTTGATATCCAGTCAACTACATTTTTCATGTAAAGACACGAGTTTTGATGCTAGACTTGAGAATTTATTTATAAGGAAGTTTAATATGGGAGTTCAAAATAGTGTGGTTGATATATGGAACGTTTTACATTACAACACAAAAATAGTGTATAATATAAACTTCAATTATTTTAAAGTCTGTTTGATGATTTTATGAACATAAAGCTGTAACTAAATGTGTTAGCTAAGGGACTAGCTTATATCAGACTAAAGTAAGAACAACTAGTAAAATTATTCAATTTCAACAGTAGTTTTTCTTTTTCTAATAATAAGTTAAAGTAATTGGAAATATTAATGGTAAACTCCTATAATATTATTGTGCTGCATTAAATTTTGTACTCACTGTGCTGATGTGGTGTCCTTTGATTTAAAATATTTTCTTATTCATATTTTAACCTTATAATTCATTAAAATATGTTAACAGGTATTCCCTTCTCATATCAAAGAACATGGTAACAAATACCTGTTCAGCCAATCTAGGTCGTCTCTCACGTAACAAAATTTTAAAACAAGTTATATTTTGCCCCTTGCACTCAAACTACCTTGAAAAAAAACAATCTTCATGCAAACAATCCTGCAATATCATTACAAAAAAGTAATTTTGTACAAAATAAGTCAGCATCTGGAATTCCAAAGATTAATTATTATCCCTAAAAGTCACAGTCATATTTGCATATACAACTTTTTTATACTATTCTAATTTGAATTTCTAAAACAAGTAGCATTTTAGTAGCCCATCTCTTCACTCTTCCAGACTGGTTATTTTTCTAATAGTGGCTGGCCTATAAGAAGAAGACTGCCTTAATGTGTAGTAAAATCTAAATCATTGTCGGAGCTTAAGAAGAGATTGAATGAGTATTTTGGAGATCAGGGTTGGAGAGGAAATGATATTTCTACATATGGTTTGAAGTTAGGTAACAGAAGAAAACTGGATACCCTAGATGGGCCAAATGGTCCTTTATACCTTCGAAAAGAAGTTAAATGTGGCAATCCCCAGTTATCCAGGTCCCATTTAATAATGTTATAAAAGTACCGATAACACAACTGCACACATACTAACAAGCTATTCATGAATGCCTTCTTCACACAATGACTGATAACATGACTGCATTTACACACATACTAATAAGGCAAAGTCCTTGACTGCACTAGTTATATTTATTAATTTTGCTGCTATGGGTTTGATGCAACTGATCGAGCAAATCATCATTAATAAAAGTGCTTATGAGTTCCCGAAACAACATTATATCTTACACAGCATTGCTCTAACATGTCCTCGATGCTTGAGTTCATATGGCAATATCACGGCAAAAAGATGCACGAGACATTTGATACACTACTAGAACACACTTCAGAATGGTATGTTGTACCACATCAAGAATAATTATTATTGATAATAATAAATATTTTAAAGTTAGAGGTTAGTTATCTATTGTACATCACCCAAGAATGAGAAAAAGCATTTTTTAATCATGTACTCTAACAATACGGTCAGAATAAATATTGCACAAGGAATGTTGACTATAATTCCAAATTTACTATATGTATCTACATTGCATGTGACAAGCTTTTAATGAAATGTAAAAGACTGTTGCACACAAAAAAATCAGATGTATAATTATATTACCAAAGTATTTGTACTCAAGTTATGTCTGTGAATTGACAAGTCTGTTTGACTTGGGCTTCAAGAAGTCAGAATGTAAGTTGATGTTCACGTGAATAATAAATATACAGAATGCATACTGTTGCATATCTACAGTTTTGTCAGTATCCCTGTGTAATCTATCTGGTATTTACTCTCCTCTATCAAGAACTGTCATTGATTTAGTAATGTTGGGTAAAATAAATTATTGATAACTCTGACACCAAGTACATAATACCATGTTGAATTACACTGTAAAACTAAAAAATCGTGGCATGTGCACTTGGACTCCCACTCGTGTATAGGGTCAATCACACTTATCTCTTCCTAATCTTATATTTATAAATTACATAAAAATATTACGCCGTTAATGATTTATAACCCTACTTATAACAGAATCAGTAAAATAGATTTAATCATTTTAACACTACTAGACTGATCTCCTCTACAATAAATTCCTAAGTAATTTAATTTAAAGTTAAAACGACTTTCAGTTCACAACTTAAACTTCAGCTCAACTGGAGTTAAGACAAGCATTGGGTCACTCGGGTGTAAATATTTGAATTAGACAATAATAAACTATCTGCTTTATATCCTAATATAATGTTCACACTTATAGTTACTTTAAGTCTGCTTGTATTAAATATTGGCACGTGACTTTACGCTGCAAAAACCTACTTTTTAAAATATCTATAACCACATACCTCGCACGAGGAACTTCTGCCATTTCGAAGGAACGCCTCCAATCTCATTAGGGGAAAATGTCAGAATAAATTTTAAAATTAATTTATAGAAAAATCATTCAACACAAATAAAAACATGAACAAAAACATTACAGCTATGAATAATTACTAATATTAATGTAATAGAAAAAATCTTGCTCGTATGCAAAATAATATTGTTGCAAGCTATGTTTTTAATGTTGTAATTTGTTAGCTAGATGTCATGGAATTCCTTAAAAGTTTCTAAGGTTTTACGTCAAATTTTGTTGCCCCCCAGTGACACAGCGGTATGTCTGCGGACTTACAACGCTAGAATCCGGGTTTCGATACCGTGGTGCGCAGAGCGCAGATAGCCCATTGTGTAGCTTTGTGCTTTATTCCAAAAAACAAACAGATTTTCTTCTGACATATTCAAACATAGTGTTGCATCTCCGTTCGTTAGTTAATTTTCCGTAAATTCGTTCCGACGAAACTTTAGTGACACAAGTCCTTTCTTAAAAATAACTGGTTTATTCTTTCTGAATATAACTTTGCGATGGGAAAGCACCGTGGGAAGCGTATAGAGCACAATTTGAGCTACTTGCAGAGATGAACGGATGGACAGAGAAGCAGAAAGCAGTATATCTGGCAACGAGTTTGAAGAGACAACCACTGGAAATACTTGGACAGTTGTCACCAGACGACAGACACAACTATAGAGCACTGGTAGCTGCACTAGAACTCAGGTACGGAACCCCAAATCAGTCAGAAGTCTACAGGGCTAGGTTTAGGACGAGAGTCCGTGCTAAAGGGGAGAGCCTGCAAGAGCTGGCACGGGACTTGGAAAGCATGGCACCCAAGGCCTACACAACTGCACCACCCGATCTCCTCAAGTTGTTGTTGAGGGATCAGTTCATAGATGCCTTGGACAGTCCACAACTAAAGATACAAGTAAAGCAAGCACACCCCTCTACCATGCATGACCTTTTCTGGCCTTGAATCCAGATGACTGTACCAATCTTGGTACCTCTGTGCTGGACTTAACGTAGGATTCAAATTCGAGAGCTCTGGCCATTGCATCCAAGTTGCACCTTTGGCCATCCAGCTTCCCTGTCACACAGATACTACGTGTGCTTGCCATTTTACACTTAGCTGTTGGGACTTTCACGATGGAGGTTGGTGGGCGTTCCTCAACACCAACCACTACTGGTTTCCCGAAGCTGACTTATTGGTGGTATTTTTCTTACACTGGCTCTTCAGATGTCCTTGCTCCCCACAGTTCCAACAGCCTTTCTGGATAGCAGCCTTTCCTGCTGTATCATATCTCCTGTGTTGAAGTTGCCAGCAATGAGCTCTCTTGTGCCCAGGTTTGTTGCAGTGCCAGCAAAGTTCCTCAAACTTTTCTGAAAGCGGTCATAGATTCTGCATCTCAGCAGACCCTTGTGAGCATCAAGGTGCTGGATAACAAAGGAGTACCAGAAGCTGTACAGAAGCTCTGTGGTGTGACAGGACATTCTGCAAGGTTGTGGGGACCAGTGTGGGTAACTATCGAACTGATGGCCATGAAAAACAGACAGAAAGTATACTTGGCTGACATTGAAGACCAATGCATATTAGGATTGGACTATCTACTACCGAGGAAGTGTGTAGTTAACTTCGATAAAATGACGATGGGAAACAACAAAGGCCAGACTCCAGTAAGTGTTGCTACATCCATTGATCTGCATGTCACAGCACTTAAATCAACTACAATACCCCCTATGTCAGAGAAAATAATTTGGGGTAGGATAAAAGAACATCCCCGTGGAAACCCAATGCTTGTAGAAGCAGTGGAAGACCCATCCAGGCCAGCAGATTTGAAGATTGGAAGGTCACTTGTAGCAGGTCACCAAGTAGTACCAATAACAGTGGCCAATTTCTCTAAATTTGAGCAGACACTTAAGGAAGGGGCATTGTTGGGTGTGTGCCAGGAGGTAGAGCCAGTCAATGTTAAAGCAAGGAATACAACTGTAAAGAAAGGAAAAACACTTCCAGAATATTTGACTGACCTCTATAAGAAGAGCATAGTTCATTTGGCATCATCACAGGCTTTTCAGGTAAAAGAACTTTAGCAAATTATGCTGACGTCTTTTCGAAAGGAGATCATGACCTCGGTTGCACAAACCTTGTAGAACACAGAATAAACACTGGCAATCACTGTCCAATAAAGATCCCTCCAAGGAGAATAGCTCCAGCAAAGCGACAAGAGATAGAGTAGGTCATGGATGGTCTAATTAAGGAAGGGATAGTCGAGAAATCAGATAGTCCCTGGTCAGCTCCCGTCGTATTAGTACAGAAAAAGGATGGGACCCAACGTTGCTGTGTGGACTTCAGGGCATAACGAAGTTACGGAAAATTAACTAACGAACGGAGACGTAACAATATATATACTTGTGGATACAACGTTTCGAGCAATGCCCTTCTTCAGGTATCACTAACTGAACAG